CATCTCCCCAGGGAAGGGAATTAGCTTGAGATGGTGGCAGCGAACCAGAGCTAAGCTGGTAGTTAAGCTTAGAAGTTTTCATGCAGGCCCCCACATTGTACCCTAAAGTTCAAAGTGGGGATACAGCCTTGACACCCCCTCTTCCAGCACGGCAAGCCGTCAGGGGACGGGAAGTAGGAGGGAGTGGATGGGGGCAGGGTGGGGGTGGGGCTAGGACGGGGCTCACTGGGTGCACACCCTAATGAAATGGGCTGTGCATGCCTATGCTCAGGAGGTGTGTGAGTTACATTTGTTCTCCACAATGGATGCAATGCAGGGATGGGCAAAGCAATTCCTATGTTGTGGAGCAGCAGCAGTCCTTCCATAAGGAAGGTTGCCACTTGGGTCCATCCCTCTCTTTCTAAAAGGTGTTTTTGAAAGAGGACCTCCTTAAACTATAGAGCAAAAAGAGAGTTTCAAATTCTTCCAACTTTTTTGCCACTTTTGTAGGGGAAAAAAACAGATAACCTCAACCAAAAACCCAAAGAGAATTGGCTTCAGCAGATCACTGCCTTTGAGCACGATTGTGAGAGTAACCTACAATACGTTATTAAACACGTTTAACAGATACTCCAAGGAACAGACATTCCTACACTGGCTAGCTTGGTGTTGCATGTAAAAGGATTGCTGGAGCCCTAGACTTTCACTGCAAGGAAAGTCTCTAGCCCTTTCCCATGCAGAAGCAGAGCTCACAGCATAGTCAGATCAGTAGAGAGGCTAGACTTGTCAAAGAAAAAGGTTTCCCACCACCAATCAAAGGTTCACAAGGGAGTTCTCCCCTCTTGCAGATCTCAGGAAACGCACTGTAAGGTGGTGTGAAGTGACCACCTAATCTCCCAGCCAAGCTCACCCAGTCCCTTCACTTTGTGGGCTTTCTGAAGTCTGTACAAAGGGAGCTGTGGTCCTGGAGACCTTAGGCCAGGTCTACAATTCAATGTTTTACCGGCCTAGTTAAGTCAGTTAGGGGAGTGATTTTTTTTAATGAGATAACTGTGCCAGCCAAAGCCCTAGCACGTAGCAGCTATACTGGGCAGGGAAAGGGCTTTTGCCAGTACAGTTTATGTAATTCACAAAACTGGTATAAGCTGTACCAGCAAAAGAATTTTTTTGCTGGTATAACAGCATCTCCATTAGCAGGGTTTTGCCAATTCAACCATACTGATATAGTTATACTGGCAAAGGTTTTAACTGTACACAAGGCTTTAGATGTGCGGAGTGCCAGGGGGCTAAAAGGAGCAGGGTGATTGGGGTAGAGATGAGGGGAATTCCTCCATGCCAGCTGAGTGAAGTCTGCAGAACCCCAGTTAGCCTTGTTGGCCAACTTTACAACCTCCCACCTCCCAGTATAAGGCTCCAGATTTGTATGAGAATATCCCAAAAGCGTCAACGTTCACACAGATATCAACATCCCTTCATCGGAGCTACAACCCCTTTTCTGTTAAATCTTTTAGCTCTCTTCTTTAAAAGCATATCAATTGCAGTTTAACCACAAACGAGATGCCAGAATGGCGCCACCGTTTTCTGGCAGTGTTGACATGGCAACCGTCCCTGTCCAAGAGTGTCTTTGCAAAGCACGCCTTTATCTGTTGTCCTCATTACCCAGTACTTACCAACATAAAGCAAGAGTTCTAAACAGTAAGAAAAGAAACAAGCCATCCCAATGATTGTCTCCTCCACAACAGCCAACTGCTCCAGCCAGCTCAGTACTTGCACACAATCTTGGTACCTAGACATCATGGAGAATTATTGCACGACTCATTTTATTCTGAGGAGTTTCTCCCCTATCCCTTTATTTCCTTTCCTCTTTCCATGTCTCATTCTCTATCCTCCCATCCATCATTCCACTCATATATCTATCCTATTTTTCTCTCCAAGGATCTTTGGTCAATGAGCTTATGGAGAAGGGCTTCAAGGATGCCTGACAAGACACTGAGTGGATAGGGACGTTCCACTGTGGTCCTTCCCAGGTGCGCAAAGTATCTCTATGTGCATATAAGTGTCTGCAAGGTCCACTGTGGATAGCTAATTGCCTTTTCAGCTGATCATTGACAAGGAAAAGCACCAGGAGCAGTGCATATAGAAGCCAGGTGGCCAACCTATTACTACAGACAAACATGCCCCAGCAGAAGGAACAGTTGTGAGAACAAGTGTGTTCAGGAAGCCACTGTGGCTCAGAGAGAGTTCTTATAGATTGATGTCTAATAAGAGACAGACCAGTCTTTTAATCTGCCAGGGGTGGGAGGAAATAAGGCTGCCACATGACTCCAGTTGACACTTCTGAGCCATGTGACAGAGGTACCTGCATCCCAAGTATGGGGATCCAAACTACCTCCTCATGAGGAAGAAATTCACTTCAGAAGAAAAGTACCAGCCAACCAAAGCAAAAAGCCAAACTTAGCCTGTCCATACTTCCTCACTTCCTGGCTCTCTAGACCAGGGAGGTCAATGGTCGCCCTCATAATGTGCCTCCCACCTCTTTCTGTCAAGGGCACATTGTTATCATCGATAGTAATTCACATTAAGAGCTGTTAGGTATGGCTCAGTATTATCCCTCCATCTCCTCCTTGGTCAGCCATGAGGTCAGACACCATAAATAGGGCCCTGTGTAAATCACATTTTTGTGGAGGACATGGAAATCGAGAAAATGCCCCCAAACCATGATCTTTTACATATTTTTCCTTACAATTGACTAAATGTACTTATCAAATTCATTCCTTGCAAACTGTCGGGAATTTTCTTTAAAAAAAAAAATTGATTTATACAGGGCCTTAAACATGATGTCCTTCCTAGAGACACTTCCTAGAGACACTGGTCTGTCTTCTGTCATTGTAACCACACGCCTTGCCCACTGAAGTCATTGGAATTTCTTTATATTTACTATACTTGTGTCTCCATCGACCTCCCACAGTTCCCTATTAGATTTCTTCTCCATACACCATTCTCCTTAGCCCATCCATATGGGAACATAAATTTGCATCATACCTGATGCTCAGAAAGAGAGCTTTGAAGAGCATGCAGAGAACCAGATAGTCCAGCTTCGGTTTCTTCAGACACACACACATTTCATGGGCTCGATAGCCTGTGGAGAAAACAAATCTATTAAGTGTCTCTCCCTTAATACTGACACCTTCTCTTCACAGTATACGATGAAAGCAGACTTACCTAATTGAATAGATAAGGGCAGGTTACCCAAGCAGAGCTTCATATAGGCCAATGACTGTGCTAATTTAACTGTTGTTAATAGCCCTCCTCCGATAACCCGGAGGTGAGAGCTACGCTGGATGGCCATCAGCTCATATTTCATCCATTCATCTTGGTTACCCATCATCTGGCAGCAGAGTGAGAATTCCA